GGCGTAGAATCTTTCATTGAGTCGGATGTAATTTCAGGCACAATCGCCACGCCTGGCCGTTTTCCCATCGAGGATAATCGGCGTTGAGGGCTCGTCGGGGACACCTTGACCCCTGACAAAAAGTCTTCCCCGTATTGCGCTTGGGCGTTCCAGGTGGTTGCCGGAAGTGCCCATAGTGGCTATAAGGGTGAGGTTTTGGCTCTGTGGGCGACCTTCTTCGGTTGAGACCAATTAACCATCGAGATAATACCTGGTGCACTAAATCTCCTGGGCTTCGGAGGTGTCAGTGACGTATAGGCCCCCGGTCTCGGCCCGCTGCAACTCCCGCGTAAATTGACGACAATTGTTTTTGCATTTATGTCATCCTAACGCAATAAGTGCAGCCACCATTACTACAGCAAATGGCGGTTAGTCTTACGTGGTTTTGATTACACCTCAGCCCACCACCCAATCCAATACAATTTATGTTTACAACCAGGCCTGTGGCATTAGAAGAGACCAGGGCAGGGTTAGACTAGTCACTACTGTACATACGGCATACAGTAGTAAAGTACGTTACCAACAGAACCACCACGGGTCGTTTTGTTACACCGGAAGCATTTAGTTAACCCTGTCGGAAGACCCCTTTTGAGACCAGACAATTCTTCTCTCCGTAAGAGGATGAACCTTCCACGTTTAGAGAAAGCCGTTTGTAAAGGTCCCGAAACACCGAAATTAGGTACTGTTTGACCTCAACTCGGTCTTCCGGACATGATCTGCCGTCGCTCGGAAAACCAAAGTTGGATTGGACCTATACCAAACTCAATCGGCCAACCGATTGTTTATTGCGGAGAGGTCGATTTGACATGATGCTGGCGCCCAATTAGTTCAACTGTAGCGAGTCGGGCGGCGCAGGATAGATCAATTCACCACGCGCAAGTGACTTTTCCTCACGATAAACCTCGTAAGCTGTAGTGTTTAGTACCCTCCTGTATGCCTGTCGCGTCGCAGCATCCGATGATTACTTTCAGTTGATATTAATCCTGTTATACTTCGTCAATTTGAAAATTTGAGTACTGGAATTGTGGAGAAATAGGTCCTATTTTCGGTGTATGCGACGGTGGACGTTCCACTTATGTCGACCATTTTCTTTTTTCACAAACTTACGCTGTAATTGTCCAAATATCTATAAGTGCGGTGGCAGATTCTGTGCCACCTAGACTGAAAATAAGTAAACAGAGCTCACAAAGCAGTTGAATTACACCAACGAATTTTATTATCAAGACGTATGTCAGGACACTGTGCGACTCACAACGGCCGGTCTATGCGAGTCGGACTGAGTCTATTCACTTTATATACTATGTAATACTACACTATACGGCTCCTGACATCCGGATGAATACAATGAGACTAGGGCAATACAACACGTCTATAAATTTCATCGAAAGAATTGCGATTACAATATTATCAGGTCTAACTGAGTTCTACCCTCCACTTAAGATAATTACAAGTGCAAGGTGTCAGCACTAAAACGGCCGGCAGAAAGGACCGTTCTGTGAAAGTACATAAAGGAAAGGAGGACATTATACTGACTAGCGAATTTGAGGCGTTGTGACTCGAGACTAACAGTCGTCCGTCACGATAAGGTGACTCAACTTCGAGTATCGGACGTTGGATTGGTCCCCCCATAATGATGCTTCGTCCTAAAAGAAAATCGTTCTTGAAGACCCTTAAAGGCCATGATTGCTCGACCAAGTGAAAAAATCGCCCGATCTATTGAAATAAGACTTCCGATCGGACGACGGTCACAATATTGTTGCTAGCCGGAACCCATGTGCTACAAGACCCACGTATAGGCAGGCGTAGGCAGTAGGGCAGTATACTGGCAGATTAGGCACAGTAAAAGCGCCCGAAGAGACGCAGTGGCAGGTGTCATAGTAGTAATGCAACATACTGTAACGTACATTGACCCTGGCGAAAAAAAAAACGTCAAGGCTTTTGCCTCGTCACCGACACTACGAGATCGAAACGCCGATCGCCAACAAAAAAAAGGTTCTATGGCTATGATTCCCGCCTCCAACCTAACAACTATACTACATTTAACACATGTATCGGTACCAGTAAAGGAGGTAGGGAAGTAACCAAACATGAGACAGGTAGAGCATGACAGGTAGAGCAGGAAATAGCACCCGAGGGTGGGGAAAGAGCCATGGCTAGCTATCAAGCTAAAGTAGCTACCGTTAGCAAACCCAAAAAGAGTGTAGGCAACTGTCGAGTTACAGTCGCTAAGAGAAGGAGAGTTGTGAGTGCTTAAGCTGTAGTAACGTGTGATTACAACGTCAGGCAGTTGCCGTGATCAAGAGTTTTAAAACGATTGATTAAGTTTAGATAATAAGCTATCAGCAACAGAACAGGCACACAAGATACCCGGAGGAGACAACAACAACAACAACAACCGGAAGTTACAACATGCTTACCGCAGTAGTGGTCCGAGTAACTCAGCAGAATCTGAGAAGAGCAGCACCAGCTGCAAAGAGCTGTGCCTTTTACTGTTTACTTCACTGTTTCCCTTCATTACAACAGCTAAATAGAGATCAAGGCTGCTACGTTTTAACCACACACACCTCTACATACATCGAACTGCCCGATTATTCCCCCTATTACTCGTTTTATGCAGGAGATGTCCGGTCACCAGGGCACATGATGTTTGTGTGTGTGTGTGTTTGCAATTTCTTATTTATTTATTTTTCGTTTGTTAATTATGGGGAATGATTGTGTTAAGAGGTAGTTGAGCTGTTTATATTTGGGTCGGATTTTTATGTTGACAATGTGGTTTGGAGTTTAATTGTGTCAACTGTTGACGGTAAGCCTGGTGGGAGGGGCTATGTATTCAAAAGGGACAGGGTTTGGCCCTGGAGGTGTTCACTCGGGAGAATGTTGCAGTGAAGGCAACAGCTGGGACGTGTTCGGGAGATTGTTGCAGAGAAGGCAACAGCAGAACACGTTTACTCTCCATGAGTGATGGACGGCCTGATTTGGACTTTTATTTTGTTTGTTTAAGTTGTGCGGTTTCGCAATTTTTTTGTTGCTGTAATAATTAAGTTTTGGAGCTTAAACAACTGACTAAGCCAATGTTTCGAATGGACAAATAGAACCCCGTCACACACACACACACACAGGCGACCGGACATCTTCTTCAAAAACTAGTAATATGGCGTAATAATTGAGCAGTTCGATGTGTCTAACCATAAGAAAGTATCTTGTGCGAACAAGAAAGTATATCTTGCGCACGAGAAAGTATATCGTTCGCAAAAGATACTATTTTTTTTCCATTAACCTTTAGGGGTTCCATAACATTTAAATAAATTCTGAATTATATTTTTGTTTAACCTTCATTTCAGCATCTAAGCCAAAGAGCAAAACATGAAAATTAAAATGAAATTACATTTACATTATTTTCTCTAGTTTTGGGATGATCCATGATGGTGAGGGGAACCCTTGTCGCAAGACAGAGGGCAACATCATGTCTCCCACTCTGGCGGGAAACAACGGGGTCTTCTTCTGGTCCACCTGCAGTCGACAGTACCTCAGCCGCTTTCTTGGGTAGGCCTTTACTGCCTTGCGCCAGTGCACAAACAAATAATAAAATGTTTTAGTCGGCTGTCGTTGCTCTCTTCCTGACTGACACGGGTGATTTGTTGTTTTCACCAGAACAGCCCAGGCATCCTGTCTGGTGGACGAACCGAGGCAGATTGGTCAGTACAAATACCCAGAACAACTTCCTGGGCAGCTGTACAACGCAGACACGCAGTGCAAGTGGCAGTTTGGCTCCAAGGCCAAACTGTGTAGCCTTGATTTTGTCAAGGTAAGATATTCAGTTAATGCATTATTAGCATAATTTAAAGTTGCTATTGTCATACATTTCTACATTAACAATGGAAAAGGGTTCATTATTGACAAATCATTATATGACTCTGTACTGCCATGAAGCTATGCAGAGCTTTTCTAAAACCTTAAACCAAAACAATGCAATTAAATATGGTTAGCTGCCGACAGCTCTGTTTCGGTTCAATGTCACTGTTCTTATTGATAATATTTTGGCTGCAGCAGCTTGCAGTCCCGGTTTAACATGAACCCCAACATTCCTAAGTCAAGCATTGTTCACATGTCCCTTTACCTAAACCAAGACGCACTAGATGAGCCTGCACTAATGAGACGGAGCACCCTTTACAGCGCTAACGATGCAGTGCTAAATTGGCACTTTATTAATTAGCATGATCTTTGCACAACCACCTCGAACCCCCCTCACATTTGACCCACCATTGAAATGCATTCCATGAATTGAATGGGAATCCCAAGCCTTCTGGGTCCCCCCCCCCCCAACAGAAGCCTTCTGGGTCTTGGTATAACCCTTTATGTTGGGTGTATTGAATGATGTTGATTCACATGTAAATGCTCTTTAAAATACTAGGGGTATACCATTCAGGGATATAATTGCTGGGAAATCGACTTTACCGAATCGTATATATTACATATTAGCACACATGACATCACCCTGGCTATTGACGACGTCCCTAACTCCCAGCTATGTTTCCCTTAAAAGAAGATCAAATACTACATCTGCATTTCTTAGGACTGTGGGTGGTAAATTAACCTACACGCTAGTTAACAGTGGATTTAGGCTGCTTTTCACAATTGTTTTTATTGTCCACGATAGGCTCATGTAGAATGATTTTTAAAGCATGCTGGTATGGCTGTCAACCACCTGCTTTGGATCAGAGAATGGGGACAAAGACTCAAACACACACCAGAGCGGTCTCTCCTGCCTTTCCCCCTCCCTCCTTTCTAGTTTCTCTCCCGTTGCCAGTTGCTGTTGGGCGGGTTGCCAGACTATGCCGCCTGTCTTTCGACCCTGGCTCTCCCTCTGTGCTCGCTCTGTCTCTGTATTGTTGGGTCAGATGACACATACAATTATAGGCCATTTCATTAAAGAAGTACAGTGATTAGATTTGACACCGGGGCTTTGTGGAGAAGCTTACCAGCGTGATGGTGGTCCTGGCAGGAAGCAGGTGCTCGCGGGTCAAGGAAGGGGAGTTACACGGTGCCAAGAGGCTGTCCGACTACAGTAATAAGATACAAAATACCATATCTGATAAGACATCTCATACTGTGTGTGTGTTTGACTTGTTTGACAGGACATCTGCAAGTCGCTGTGGTGCCATCGCACAGGGCACCGGTGCGAGACCAAGTTCATGCCTGCTGCAGAAGGCACCAGCTGTGGCCCTGACATGGTGAGGAATTGTCTTCTTGCTCCACAGCAGCCACTCATTCTACTTCCTGCACTTTTAATCACTGTCTCATTGATTAGAGAATACAAAAGAGAATGGGGCAAAAACCTTTGAATATTTAAGAGATGCAGATGGTAGAAACAGCTAATCAGTCATGTGAGTTTATTTGCTTGGTCGTTACTCAATCGGTGAAGGAGTTTCAAGATCACATTGAGCACCTCAACCTTTTTTTGACCAAAAACAGCACCTAACAACATTTTGAAAAATACACTTAGCTATGCTTACTTTCAGAAAGTTTGAAAGAAGGTTGATGCCACCTATGACTCCTACTGTCATTCAAGGAATTAGAAATACTCAGGCCACCCATCACATTGTCTAGTTATTATACTTTTGATTGGTTAGCTTGATTCATGAGCTTTAGAGGTGTTCATTAACATAAAGTTAGACAGAGCCATGATAACTGTTTACACATAGATTTGAATCTTTCTGATACGCTAAGCTAGCAGACTACATATGGTAGCTTTATATTTACTGTACAGATATGAGAGTGGAATCAAAGTTATCATATACATTTTAGCAAAAAAGATAATTTTCCCCTAAATTTCGTAACTTCCAGAGAAACTTGAACTTCTTCAAACTACTGCTCCATCTTAGTTCCTACATGGTCATGACCAAATACAAGGGGCCAAAATGGGTTTTCTCTGGAACGTGGCTGGCATTACCCTTAAGGTTAAGATTAGTTCAGTCATCCAGGAGGGACTCTGATTAGCGCCGCAGCTTCTTCGCGTAGAAAGCAGCCAGTTGCGGTGATTCACGGACCTGGTAAGGATGCCAGCTGGCAACCCTAGGAAGGTCTTCAAGGCACGTCCAGCTGGGAGGAGACCGAGGGGCAGACCCAGGAACGGGTGGAGGAGATACACAGTATGTCCATGCTGGCCTGGGAGCACCTTGGAATCCCCCAGTCAGAGCTGGTTGTTGTGGCCAGGGAAAGGGAAGTTTGGGGCCCTCTGCTGGAACTGTTTCCCCCGCGGCTTGACTCGGGATAAGCAGTTGACGATGGATGGATGGACCAAACTTCCCCCTTCCAAAAAATTCAAGAGGAAATGAGGACAAAACATAAATGTACCCCTAAACTATCAGATGGAAACAATCATCACAGTTTAAAGACAGACTTCCTGATTCAACCATGATCTGATCGGTGATCGCACACACATTTCAGGTGGTTTATATAAGTCGTGCTTTGGTGTCTGTTGACATGGTGTTCCCAGATCCCAGTGTTTAATTCAGTGACTAAAGTGTGTGTGTGTGTGTGTGTGTGTGTGTGTGTGTGTGTGTGTGTGTGTGTGTGTGTGTGTTGGCTGTAGCTGGAGAGTATGGGTGTCCACTTGTCCACTGTCCAGGTGTGGGGCTGGGCATTTGTCCAAACCAGGAAACTCCAATGCCTCTGATAAGAAAACTATTCCTGCACGTCTTTTCTTTCCTCTTCATTCATTTAATTCTCTCTCCGTTTCCCTCCAGTGGTGTCAGCGAGGGCAGTGTGTTAAACACGGGGAGCACGGCCCTAGGGCGGTCCACGGCCAGTGGTCGACCTGGTCTCAGTGGTCCGACTGCTCCAGGACCTGTGGGCGGGGGATCATGTACAGGGAGCGCTCCTGCAACAACCCGAGGTATACACACTCACAAACACTCACAGAGTGGGGCAGGAATGAGTCCTAAAACACGGGAATGAGTAGGTATGTTCCCACATCCATTTATCTTGTCTCAAATTCAATGGTTGTTTAAAGCATTTTTGGTTGGATGCCTAAAATAAGGTCTTTAACGGTTTATACAAGCTTAAAATATTTTGACAGAATACTTCAGTAAATGGAGTACTGGTGAATGTACAAAGCCGTTATGTCTCTTAAAAATGTGGATGCTAACAAATGACTCACTCACACCAAACATTGGCCACCTTTAGCTTAGCGTTGTTGATGTGAAAGCTAACATCACGTGTCATTCAACGGTGATGTTAGCCTAACGTTAGCATTTTAGTTCTGGCGATTGCTCTTAGGCTTCAGAAATCATAAAAGTGGTTTTAGTATGTGGAGACTATCCTGCTGAACAACAACATGCAAGTATCATAAACTTGTTTTTGCCACAGATTAGATTTTCTGCAACATGCCGAAATCCAATGGTAAAATCCCGTTAGCTTTTTGCTCAGGGATCCCTTCGATGCTAACTTCTGGGTCTGCCTACAAAAATATGTTATCAAGACACCACTCCATTATCTCATTGTTCAACATCTCCTTTTTAAAATGCTATTCAGGGGATAATACATCCCTAAAATGACCATTTGAATGTTGGTTTCCCTGTGTCTTTCATTTGTAAATAAAATGTTTTTCCTCATATAGTCTTTTTCAAATCCTATTTCTCCAGTATAATACATTTTTAAAACACTTCCTTATTAACTGTTTCACACTTGTGAAAATACTAAATGAGACTTGGACGATATTGCATTATTTGTGTGAGAACCGGATGTCTGTAGTTATACGAGTCCTCCATTTACTTGAAATTGTCAACAATTTTCTCAGTTTTTGTAATCGTTACTGGTCGTGGAGGCATGCAATAAAACAAAGTCTTCTTAAAGAATTCAAGGTAACACAAGACGAGTAATTTATATACAAATGATGAGTTTGTGAGTATATTATTCTTTGACTTGCCAAACAGATGACAAAGTGATTCATTTTGTCATGTGTCTGCTTCCACTGTGAAAACCTGAGTAGTGCTTTTGGGTTAGAAAGCATTTCCTTAAGGTCCGTTCCTTAGTGAACACCTGAAAGCGCTGTCAGCGCACACACACACACACACACACACACACACACACACACACACACACACACACACACACACACACACACACACGATAACGGCTCTCATCAGTCAGACTGACAGCCCAGACAGACAGACTATCTCTCCCCGTGCTCCAGACGAGGAAACCCTCCTAATAGCATGCTCTTTTCTTTGAAAGCTGCCAAGACGGTCAGCAAACGTCCCCTATCGCGGCTCACTCACATAAACATAACTGCATAATTCTGCAGAAGCACATCCCACAGTGAATATCCATTTGTTGGTGAAGGGCTCTGTGCATGTCATTACAGGCGTCTGATACAGCATTAGTTTTAATGTGTCCTAGCATACGTACAACCCCTACTGTTGTTCCCTAGAACACTTCGGCTGATTTATTAGATGTTTTTAGGACTTTATTTTACTTTCTTACAATTAGTAACTAGATTTGTTGTTATGTCACAAATCTACAATCAACCGATGTATTGTCCCGGTAAGTTAGTGTGCCCCAACACTGGCCCTTTAAATGTAATACAGGAAAAGCAGGACTTTTGCAATTGGATATTTAGAGAAAAGATTAATTTTCGGATCAATTTCAGTCCCTTCTGCATTAAATATGTCCTATGTGTAAACCAGACGCCAAACATTTTATACAGAGATTCTTGGACAGACTGACATTAAATGGAATGCATTGTTTGAACAAGTTGTCGTCATTAAGGGTTTAAAGTCCTTGAGGAATGATTTTACGCTAACCATTCGCTCCATACTGTAACTCAAATAGTCCTGAAGTGGATGGTGGAACCAATTAGCTGTGCCATGGCCAATCAAAAAGAAGAAATGTCCACAGAAATTCCTAAATACTACCGCTAGAGTATTACTAATTTGTGTTTCTAGCCAGTTGTCAAGAGGATTTTAGCACTCTTGATATTTCATATTTAAAAGTGAGGTTGAATTGATGTTTTAATTAGCAAGGTGTCTATTGTAAAGCATATTTCATGAAAAATGTGTCAATGGCTCCACAGCAGTATGAGGACAGCAATAGGCGCTTTCACACCAAGTACGTTGCCGTACTTAGTTCCCAGTACTTAGTTCATCTGAAGTCCTTAGTTCTGATTAACTATTGCCACTTACGCAGAGCTGATATTCAAAAGAGACCTATTATGCTTTTTGGGGATTTCCCTTTTCCTGTAATGTGTTATTAAGGTTTTATTGAATCCATAAGCACACAAACAATAGGGGCGTGAAATCCTATAATTTAATTTTTTTAGTTATTTTTTTATAAAAAGGTGCTTGGATTTTGAAGGCAGTGCTTCAAACTGCTTAAAATTGTCAAGTCCACCCATCTGAAGAAAGAAGTACGAAACATAATGTTGGTTGTTTAGCACAATAATTATTCTTCAATGGGATGAAATAATCAGTATACCATATATACTGTATTAACATGTTGCAGTTTACCACAGTTGTAAATTGCTGGGAAACCTTGAGAATTCCTCTTGGAATGCTTAAAAAGTGCTTTAAATTGAAAAGTTGTTAGAATATAAGCAGACTCTTATACCACACTAAAAAGGATCATGACTAATGGCTTACATCCAAGGCCACTGCACCACCTGAGGCCTGTACTATGAAGCAGGATTTTCGCTTAGCCGGCTAACTTCAGGGATAACTCTGGGTTTCCGGTCCTACGAAGCTGGTTCTCTTTTTAGCAGGCTAGATCTCCATGGTAACTTATGCTGAGCGGCTAACCTGCTCCGGAGCAGGTTAGGTTGCAGGCTAAGAGCTCAACTCAGTGAAAGCACTGCCTGCTGACCAATCAGAGCTCAGTGTGCGGAGTTTAAAGCGATCAAGTCATATTACAGGAGAAAGGAAATACAGAAAAACTGCCGTTGCAGGAAAGACAGCCGGCAAAAATCACCGACTGTGTGAACGTGAACATTAATAGAATATCACCTCCCATCTTCAGAGCAATCTGACTATTATAACATTAGCGTTAAGAAAGCTTACTTAAATATCTGCCACAACATAAGTAACCGGATCAGAGTAACATTAAGTACAGTCCGCGGCATATCACATCATAATGTATCATATATCTCCTTATCTGAGTCAGCTGAGCCGTATCTGGCCGTGCAACACTCAGTATGCAGAAGTATTATTTTAAGCAACACATTAAGTTGACGAAACACTCGAGACAAATGTAATTAAAGTCAGATCGTGTCTTAGACGGGGCAGTGATATCATAGACCTGTTAATGTACGCATTCAAACACTTTTTCTTTTACCAGCTGTATTCACCTTGCAGACGCAACTATGTGGCTTTTTATCCTGGATAAAGTGTTTAAGTCATGGATGTTGAAAGTTTAACGTCTTCATATTTGTCTAATTATATAGTTGACTTTTCATTCAGGAAGTTTGACGCTGCGCTGTCAGTACGCTTGTCCATGTTTGTGATTGGTCGAATGCTCCAAATACCACCCCTTTCATGTGAACACGCACCTAACTAGATAGGACACGGCTGGCTTGAGCGATCCACTTGATAACCCGCGTCGTTGTACCGTTTAGCGAGAGCGCGTATGTTTTGGATTAGGCCAACCGGCTAACTCAAACATATCCATGTTAGGTTGAACCAGCTTCGTAGTACAGGCCTCTGATTGGAAGAGTAACTTCATCACAACCAATCTGCTGTTTGGGTTGTACTGTTAATGACGCTTTAATTGAGAAATTAGTCATAGTAGGTTAGATCATGGGGGCATGTCACATTTAATCCTACATTTGTGTTGTGTAAGTGCAGGTGAGATTACAAGGATACTAGGGACACATTTGCTCTCTTAATAACTGCTGCCCTTGAGTACTGTCTTCTAGCAAATTAGAGTTGACATGTAGGACTTGAATATTAGAATGACTTCATACCATCCTGTTGTCATTAACAAAACAGAAATGGTTGTTAATCAAACACAAAGGAGCCTGCACAGAGTCAACGTAGGACAAAATAAAAGGTGTAGCTGAATAATCTTTGACTGATCATATTTGGAAAAGCATGTGTTATTAATAGCACTACTGATGCCGTTGTTTTATTCAAATGTTCCAGCGAGTGACGAAAAAGCAAAGCATGAAGAAATTAACCTAAAGCAGCTAAATGGAATTCAGCCCATGATTCATTCCAATATGTACACCTGTGCTCTTCCTGTTGTGACATGTCAAAATGTCTATTTGATACACAGCCTCAAGAAATTATAGTTTAATTAAAACAGTCAGTGCTCATTAACCAACTGACATTTCAACTCCTTACTGAGGTTCAAGCTAGGTTTCTTTTTCAGAAACAAGTCCTGTTTCTCACTTGAGGCCAGAAAATGTCTAGTTTCTGTGACCTTTTTACCTGTGCTGGACTGATTTATATGAGTGCACCTGCCTATTACCTGCACAAGTTAGATGCCGCCTATCACAGTGCACTGAGATTTGCTACTAATTGTAAAGCACTTACTCATCACTGTACCCTGTATGCCAGGGCAGGTTTGCCTTCACTTACTGTACGGAGGCTCAGTCATTGGTACATGTTCATCTATAAAGCCATGTTGGGTAAACTACCACCTAACATCTTCTCACTGATCTCACAGAGCGTTGCAGGTAGCTATTGCCTAAGATCACATGATGTGGTTTTGTTACTTGTGCCAAGTGCAAGGACTGACTTAGGTACGAAAGCTTTTATGTGCTTGGAACAGTCTTAAAGAAGTTTTGAAACTGAGCAATTTGGTTCCACTGCATGTTTTAAAGCTCGGATAGGTGCAATGCTATTTGATACTGTTGGTACTTGTCAATGTCGATAGGCATGTAAATGTAGCCCTGTAAATATG